CCCCCCCCCCCCCGCCCCGCCCCTCGAGCCTCGTGGAGGGGTGACCCGCGCCCCGGGGGCCCAAAGCCTTGGCGCGACGGCCGAGCGCCCCTCGCCCCCCGCCCCGGCCACTACCTGTCTTCCGGGGGGATGGGGCGCCGGGGGCGGAGGGGGGGTGGCCGGCCGCCGGGTGAGCCAGATTGTCGGGCCCGCCGCCACCTCATCGTGATGGAGCCCGTCGTAACACGCCGTGCCCCTGCGGCGACACGCCCGGCCGGAGGGGCCAGATCCAACCTTGCACGCACGCACGCACGCACGCACACACGTACACACCTACGCAGGCGCGCACACATGACGAACGCGTACGCCGTCCTCGCCACCGCCGCCGGGGCGCACATTGGGGGGCCGGGGGGAGCCGGCGCTGCGGCCCGCCCCCCCCCCCCTCGAGCCGAGGGTGCGGGCGTGATGGAGAGAGGGCAGGCGGGCAGGCCGTGGTATTCCGCCGCCGCCGCCGCCGCCGCCCCCCCCCCCTCCTCCCTCCACCCACCTCCCCCAAGGAGACGGGGCCCAGGGTTGCAGGTTCGGGTCATGCCCCGCGGAGAGGGGGGCCCGGGCGTGCGGACATTTCTCACATCGCCCATGGAAAATCAGACACACCGAATACTATGAATGGGATTGGCGCATTCCACCTGCGGTTCTCCTGTGCTCTTGCCGGCCCCGCACGCAGGCCTGGCACACCCTTGCCCTCGTCGGCATCGGAAGGGGCCGAGCGGCGGCGGCCGCCGCCGCAAGGCGTGCGCATTATTCGGGCTTTAATATGGGGAACACTTTGGAAAGTGTGTGCACTCAAGCGGGAACACATTCCGCCCCCCCCCCCCCCCCCTCGCCCGATGCTGCCTTGTTCCCTGCGGCTGCCCCTGCTGCCCCTTGGGTCGGCCTCTGCGCTGGGGGACCAGGGCGGGGTGCCCGAGGCGGCGGGCGTTTCGCGTGCGCGCGCGCGCGCACCCCGGCCGCAAGTGACAGGAGAGCCCCCCCCCCCCCCGCACACACACACGCACACGAAGGTCCCCCCCCTCTGCCCGGCCCC